AAGTAAAATATTTATGTTGAATTTATTTTCTTTAAATCCCATTATCCCATTTGAAAAAGTCTGGGAAATTTTTGTTAAGGAATTTTTTTATCACAAAACACAAAAAATTGTGTTGTATTTACATTTATATTGATGTTCTTTCGATAGTATTAATTTTTATCACATGGATATCGAGTCTAATATAGTATCGCAAACTAAAGTGCATTGTAAATGTAACTTTCTAATCTATTGGATTAAAAAAACCAAAAACCGGTTTTTGGAAAAACCGATTTTTTTGGCCGGTTATAACTGCCAGGTTAAACCGTAAGCAAAAAAAAAACCGGTATAACCGAAAACCGGTGTTTTGTCAAAAACCGCCATCCCTACTTCTGAGATGTCTGCCCTCGATGATAGAGTGTCTTCGTTAAAGAACCAAGTTGCTGCCGATATTTTGGCCTTCGAAGAGATGATAAAAGAGATGAAAAGGAAGATGGGGGAAACAGGGACAGCAGAAAGAAAAAGCAATCCAATTACAGTAGAAACAAAAACAGACGAGATGAAATGTAAGTTGGAAACACGACCGAAATTTGAAGGAAGTGGAGTTTCTGTTCATGTTAAAGTCCCAATTTTCGACGGAAAATCATTATGGAACAGCTACATGAAACAGTTCGAATCAGCTGCAACAGCGAATGGATGGTATGAAAAAGAAAAAGCTGTAAACCTGACTATCGCTCTTCGAGGAGATGCCTTAGATGTGCTCCAGACCATAGTCATAGAGGAGACAGATGATTTCGAACAACTCAAGAAGAGGTTAAATATGCGATATGGCCACGAACACTTGAAGCATGTATATCAGTCGCAGCTTAAAAATCGAAGACAAAAGAAAGATGAGGCCCTTCAAGAATATGAGGTAGATATTGCCAGATTAGTGCGATATGCTTATCCAACAGCTCCCGAAGACATGATGGAAAAATTGGCCGTTCAAATGTTTATTGATGGTCTTCGTGATCATGAAATGCAGAGAACACTACGATTAGCTCGTCACAAGACGCTGATTGATGTTTTATCTGCCACCTTCGAATACGAGTCAGCTACGCAGGCCTCTGGCGGGTATAGCAAAGTTAGGACTGTAAAAGAGGAAGGAGATGAAGATAAACTTGACCAGCTCGTTAATATGGTGAAAAGCATGACACACAAGGAAACGAAGACCATAAGACCGAAGACAAAACCAGAACGGGTTGGCCTTAGGGGGGCAGCTTCGACCTAGAACTTTTCCAAAGACCCTCTCATACTAATAGCTTCTTTGAAATGTCGTGAAGATAGTGTATATGTAGATGGAAAAATAAATGGTAAAAAACATACGTTGTTGGTGGATACCGGAGCGACCAGAAGCATTATACGCCCGACAGTTATAAACACTGTTACCAACGAGGTTGCGACTTCGGACCGCCACAGGTGAAAATGCCAACATTCATGGAGAAATCCAGGTACAATTAGGAATTGGAGCAGAAAAGTTCATCCATACGGTTATAGTTGCTGACATCGAAAAGGATGTTATATTAGGAATGGACGTAATGAATATGCATGGATTCCAATTGGATTTTAAGAATAAAGTAATCAAAGATGGTAACGAGGAGGTATTTCTGCATCCACGTGATGACAACACTATGCAAGCAGCCGTTAAAGAAGATATAGTCGTGCCTGCGAGAAGTGAAACGATCATAGTAGCGCGGCTACAGGGAATTGTGGACGAAGGAACACCTGTTATGATGGAGTCTTGGAATCATGACGACTAAGTTGGCCGTGGAATCATAATTGGAAAAGAATTGGTGACTTCGGCTAAAGCAATTCCTGTGAGACTTATTAATGTCAATGACTACCCAGTGACCATCAAGAAAGAGACAAAAGTAGGAACTTGCGTACCTGTCACATCCATAATCCGTCAGACGACAACGTCTGATAATTCCAACGATAAATTTGATCAAATGATCGCAGTTGCTGGACAGTCTGAATCAGATTGAAAAAAGAAAATTAAGGCAGTATCGTGATATTTTCGTACCGAAAGGAGGAAAGATGGGAAGAACTACCGTTGTTAAGCATATAATTAATACTGGTAATGCTAAGCCAATTCGTCAAAGAGCTCGACGATTACCACAGGCGAAAAGAGAGGAAGCTGAAACGATTGTTCAGGAAATGAAGAAAGACGGGGTGATAGAACCTTCTACGAGCCCATGGGTCTCTCCGGTGGTCCGGGTTAAGAAGAAAGACGGAACAACGAGGTTCTGTGTGGATTACCGTTTGCTGAACAACGTTACCAAAAAAGATAGTTATCCTCTGCCTCGGATCGATGACACATTAGACACATTGGCTGGAAGTAAATTATTTTCTACTTTGGATTTGAAGTCTGGATACTGGCAGGTAGAAATGGACCCGGTAGATAAAGAAAATTCAGCCTTCAGGCAGAAAAGAGCCTTCACCACAGGATCTGGATTATGGCAATTCAACGTTATGCCATTTGGACTTCGTAACGCTCCTGCGACATTTGAGAGGCGTATGGAAAATGTGTTGAGAGGGTTATCGTGGAAAACATGTCTAGTTTATCTAGATGACATAATCGTCTTGGGGGAGAAATTTGAAGATCATTTGAGGAATTTAGAAAACGTTTTCAATCGACTTAAAGCTGCCCAATTGATGTTAAACCCCAAGAAGTGCCAGCTATTTCAAGGTAAAGTCAATTATCTTATTATCTGGGTCATATAGTCAGTAAAGAATGAGTGGCTGTGGATAAAGGAAAAATCGATTCCATTAGGGAATGGCCAAAACCAACTGACAAACACCAAGTGAGAAGTTTTCTGGGACTATGTACTTACTACCGGAGGTTTATTAAGAAGTTTGCAGATATCGCTAAACCATTAACGCGACTTACAGAGGAAGCAAGAGAATATCGCTGGGATGTAGACTGCCAAAATGCCTTTGAGACCTTAAAAAAGCATTTAATCACAGCACCAATTTTAGGGTATTAACTGCCAGAAGGAGAGTTAATCTTAGATACAGATGCAAGTAATGTGGGAATTGGAGGAGTGCCGTCTTAGATTCAAGGAGGACAGGAAAGAGTCCTTGGATATTTTAGTAAAGTTCTCTCAAAACCTCAGCGGAATTATTGCGTCACGAAAAGAGAACTTCTGGCAGTAGTGAAATCAGTAGAGCACTTCTATCAATACCTCTATGGAATCAAGTTTTTAATCCGAACCGACCATGCCGCCCTTAAGTGGTTGATGCAGTTTAAGAATCCAGAGGGTCAGATAGCCAGGTGGATCGAACGACTCCGAGAATATGATTTTAATATTGAGCACCGGGCGGGAGTTAGCCACCGAAACGCTGATTCTCTTTCCAGAAGACCATGTCCATCAAAGTGTTCCCACTGCAACAAAACGGAATCCAAGGAAGCAGCAGTGTTAAGAACGACGGTGGTCCACGACGACTGGACGCCTACCAAGATCAGGGAAGAACAAGAGAGAGATCCAGTTATACAGAAAATCCGAAAATGGAAAGAGGAAAACCGTCGACCACCTTGGCAAGAAATATCGAACCTAGGCTCAGTAGTTAAGACGTATTGGGCCCAGTGGGACTCATTTATCATGGAAAATGGCTTGCTCAAACGAGTCCTGGAAAATGATGACGGTTCAGAGAAGAGAAGACAGTTGGTGATTCCAAAGAGCAAAATAGCCGAAGTACTTCGTCAGTTACACGACAGTCCATCACGAGGGCATTTTGGTGTGAAAAAGACCCTTCAGCGAATTCGGGAACGGTTTTATTGGATGAACAATTCCGACGATGTAAAAGACTGGTGTAAGAAATGTACTATTTGTGCTACGACCTATAACCTGTAATTGTGTTGTTTACTTAATGTTATGTTCTATATTTGACGATCGAAATCTACCTGACGCATCAATGGGTCACCCTTCATTCTCCGACGAGTCGAACTTTCGAGGTTGCTATAAAAAAAACCCAGTCTGACCGCACGGCGATCGAGTTTATTCCGGAAGGTTACTACCCGCTTCTAGATAACGGTATTTGGATACAAATAGATAGAAATTTTATATAAGACGTTAGTCAATGAAGAAAAGAAGATCGCGATTTATCGGGTTTTTAAATTGTATCGAACGTAACATAAATAGTTGTAAAGTTAATTAATAAATTAGTAATTAGTTATCGTTAGTTTTAATAAATTAGAATATAGACAATAAATTAGATTTAAAGACAATAAATTAGAACAATATAAATATACTACACTATTTTTTATTTCTAATGTTTCCGTTACAAATTGTCGCCCATTAAAAATTGTAAGTTTTGTAATATCTCTAACTTCTAGAATTTGTAAACGAATAGAACATATTAAGTGTTTTTCTTTGTTATTTTGTATTTATTTTTGTAACTATTAATATAGTATTTTTGTACTATTTGCTTCTGTAACTGTTTGTGGTGAGACAGCAATAAACATTTAATTTTTTCCTAAACCAATTTGTTTATTTCTTTTTAAAAAAGTGTCTGACCTCTTTTTGTGTTTTAAGTAAGCAAGAGCCTTTTCTTTCATCCAGTAGAAAGATTCTTCAAAGCGACGTCCTTATTTTAAATAGCTTAAGAACCTTCTTGTGTTATGTTTTGTTCCAGGAGATTCATGTAAGTACCCTTTTGGTTCATTTTTGTAATTACCCTAATCCATTTATCCACGACACAGTTCTCAAATAAACCCTTACGTTCGCCGGTCGCCAACTTTTCGATTTGTTTTGTTTGCCCTATCTCCATCCCAATAATTTCTGTCCCCAAATGTCAACCCCCTATAGTAATACCCTATGTGGTAGGCAAAATATTCGTTACAAACTTTACATTGACATTTCTACTAAATTATTGTTCGTTTCTGTAGAAGCTCAATATTTTCTTTATCCACTGAACCGATCTAGGCTAAAAACATATTAATACATCCCCATAAATGTATGAATTTTTAGTTTTATGGAACTTACCCGAAAAGTATGTCCAATATAGTACACACTGTCGCCAAAGGTTAGTAATTTAAGGAATGGATTCGTATGAACTGCAAATTTATTATCTGAAACATACATTAGACTTCAAATTATGTACTGTTTTCAACAATTTTTGTATTTTTACTCTAACAAACATTTAATTATAGGCGTTTTCGTGATACATGAAAAATTTTGGAAATTATAATTTAATGAACTAGACACAAAGGAGCAGACTTAACTGAAAACTATGACTTGTAGTTCTAGAAAAGACTAACATATACTAGCATGTTTAATAAACTCAAGCAATAAATTTTAACTATCTATATTATAAATCAACGGAGCCGGAATGAATTTATTGACTACTTCTACAAAAGACAAATGGTCTTCTGTACAAAAAATTATATATATGACGTTAAAGGCTACCTTAGGATTAGGATACATTCCAAAAGCGTGGAAGCTAATAAGAACGGCTTTTATATCAAAACCTGGCAAAACCAGACAGGCAAAAACTAAGTCTCAGAGGCAGATAAATCTAAACCTATATGTACCTAAATGTTATGAAAACATTTATGCAGCTCTCCTATTCTCTGAATAAGGGATACTTTCCGAACAACTGAACGCATGCGAAAATCATTTTTCCATTAAAACCAATGAAAGACAAAAGACAAAAACCAGAAAACTACAAGCCAATAACTTATCTAGGACAACTAGGAAAAATATTGGACAGACTAATCTACACTGAACTCTACATACATGCATAGAAAATAAATGCCATAATTTTTTTTTCTTCTTCCTCAGTTTGTCCATTTTCAAGGATCGCTGTTCCTCACTCTTCTTCGCTATTTTTTTCCACCGTGTCTTCTTCACTTAAACTTTTCCACTTATCCTTTATCCCACATAGTTCTTATTTCTACGTCTAATGAAGTCAAATCATTGCAGTATTTGTTGTTGAATATTTTTTGTGACTGTATTCACTCCGCCTAAGTCTTAGATTAGTCTTTCCCTAATCACGTCGTTCCTCATCCTGTCCCTTCTAGTCTTCTTTAACAGCCACAGTAACATTTTTGTGTCAGCTTCATCTATCTTTTCTTCCTGGACCCTATTTGAGGACTACACTTCACCGCTGTACACCACCGCAGGTCTCACCACACTTTTCTATATGTTTTTTTTTAATCCTCAACCTTTAATTAAGAATACTCCTCTCACTATTTTTGTGCTAAACCAAGCACCCTATATTCTATTGGCACTTTCTCCATCTAGTGTCCTTTTTTCCGTTTTGTATGAGCCAAGGTATTTAAATTCTCTAACTCGTGTTAGTTTTTCTCTAAGCTATTTGATGTCCCCAACCATTCTTGTTCCGCACAACCACATTTTCGACCTGTTAACCTTAAGTCGTCCCTCTTCAATATCCCTTCTCGAAGCCTCTAACTTCTCCTCCAATATGTATTTGTTCTTCTTCACTACGACGATATATATATATATATATATATATATATATATATATATATATATATATATATATATATATATATATATTTGTATATATATACTCGGTTTTATAACGTCTTACGACGTTGTCCGACTTCCAAACGCCACTGTATTCTGTCTTTAGTTACGTCTTCGTCCAGATTTCGAGCTCTAATCGCTTTCCTAACTCCCAGGTTCCAGCTCTGTGGTGGTCTTCTTCATTTCCTCTTCTCTGGGGGTTTCCACATCATCGTTTTTTTTAGGCAATCTTTCGTCCCCCATTCGGCTCACATGCCCATACCATATGAGCTGTTTTCTCTCAATATCCTTAACTATAGTGCCCTCTATACCCATTTGTTGTTTTATCACTTCATTCCGTATTCTGTCGGCTCTTGATATTCTCATCGATCTTCTGATGGCATCTTTTTTTCTTATATTTCTCGGTTATTCTCCATGTCTCAGCTCCCTAAAGTACTTTAATAGTATTATAAGAGTAAAGTTCTTTACTCCATAGAACTCCGTTCAAATATGCTATAGTTCTTCGTGCTTGTACAATTCGATGTTCTATTTCTCGTTCGTCTTTTCCACTACGGTCGAAGATGACGCCCAGGTATTTATATTCGTCACATGGATTTATTTTTTGATTGTTATCGATATCGAGTTGTTCTGCTTCATCTCCAATTGAGAGGTATTTTTTCTTTTCTAAATTGATATTTAATTCCCATTTCTGGTTTTCTTCAATTAGTTTTCTAAACATATATTCCATGTCGTCTTTGTCATTTGAGCTCACCACCTGATCATCTGCAAACTGTAAAGTATATATATGTAATCCTGATCGTTCAATTGTATACCCATTCCTTTGACTTTCCTTTTCCATTGTTTCAGAGCTGCAGAGCTGCTATGACGATATCATTCGCAAAAAGTATTAACCAAAGAGCCTTCTTCCTTACCTTATCCCTCAGTACATCCATAACAAGATTAAACAGGTAGGCACTTAGTAAAGAACCTTGATACAAACCAGTTATCACTGAAAAACTTTCGGTAATCCGACAGAAGTCCTTATTTTGGTTTACGCTTTTTCATACATATCCTTCACGAGCCTTACATACTTATCAGAACTCATTTTTCGCTCATACATCTTTATAGCATGAAGAAACAACAACATATACAACTCTGGAGAAATACCAACAGAATGGCTGAAATTTGAGTCTATTACACTTCCAAAAAAAACAGGAGCCAAAAAATGGAAAGATTACCGTACTGTAAGCCTCATGAGTCATCTCCTAAAATTGTTCCTAAAGATAATTCATAAGAGAATCTACAAGCTATGTGAATGTCAAATTTCCCCCTACCAATTCGTGTTCACAAATGCTGTTGATACTAGAGAGGCTTTGTTCTCAGTACAAGTCTTATTCCCGAGATGTAGAGACGTTAACTGCGACGTATATGCATGTCTGGTTAATTACGAGAAAGCGTTTGATCGAGTACAGCACGCCAAGATGATGGAAATACTAAAAGAAGCAGGAACTAACAGCTAAGATCTGAAAATAATTACAAATCTTTACTAGAATTGGACAGCAAATCTCAGAGTTGAAGGTGAACACGCTAACTATGTGAAAATCATTCGTGGAGTGGGACAAGGCTGTATTTTGTCTCCTTTAATCTTCCATATGTACTCTGAAAGAATATTTATCAAAGCTCTGCACGAAACTGAAAAAGGTATTCTACTAAATGGTTACCGGCTAAATATCAGATATGCAGATAACATCATAGTATTTGCTGACAACTTAGAAGACCTACAAGTTCTTATGAACAAAATCACGTATTACAGTCAACAATATAGACTCAATATAAACGTTAAGAAAACAAAGCTTATGATAATTAGCAAGAAAAGGATAACAGAAGGTCAACTTTACGTAAACCAATCCCCTGTAGAGAGAGTGATCCACTACAACTACCTCTGCACTATATTAAATTAAGAATGGACCAACAACCAGGAGATTAAAGCACGCATCGAAAAAGCTAGATATAACTTTATTCGGACGGAAGCCTTCTTCGAGAGTCACAACCTCTTGATACGCTGCGATGCTACGTCTTCACTGTCCTTTTTTATGGTGTTGAATCGTGGACCTTGAACGAAGATATGTGCAGAAAACTGAAATCATTTGAGTTGTGGCTATATCGGAGAATACTTAAGATCCCGTGGACTGACCGAGTCACAAATGAGGAGGTCCTCAGAAGAATGAATAAGAAGCGAGAGGTACTGACCATCATGAAATCTCGAAAGTTACAATTCTTCGGACATATTATGCGAAATAAATCCAGATATGCTCTCCTTCAAGCCATCCTGCAAGGAAAAATATTTGGAAAACGAGGTTCGGGAAGAAGAAGATCTTGGTTAAAGAATCTCAAAATCTAGTTCAATACAACATTTGTGCAGCTTTTCCGCTCTGCTGCAGATAAGATAAAGATTGCCATGATGATCGCCAGCATTCGTAACGGATAGGCACATCAAGAAGAAGAAGATATCCATAGCTCTTGTTTAGAAACTATGTCGTACTCCTGCTTAATATCTATAAATACCAAATGTATATCTCTTAAATTTTCTCAAATTTTCATTGTGTGTGACATTAACTTCTCTGTACACTTCTTACAGTAAATATCCCTCTTTCTTTATACAGTTATAAACAAAACATCAACTCCTTCCTCTCCTATAGCCTTTAAAAGCTCCACAGGTATTCCAATTTGAGTAATATGAGACGAAAAAATAGACTTTAACAGAAAGAACAGAATAGAAATGACCATATTAGACATAGAGTGCTACACATATGGTCCAATATCGTCTAAGATCAGAACTTTATTACTAACAAACTAAACTTTAAATCGAAGGTAGTCAAGAGAAAAATTTTGACCTACTCAAGAATCTTTGAGTAAATGAGAGTATTCCGTCAAACCACAGTTACGATCTGGAGTACAGTATTACTCTTATCTAAACTAGTAAAAAAACTTATGATCTTTTAAAATATCGAATGGCATATCTATCTATCTATCTTATTGGCCTTTGTGAATCATACGTGAAGTGCGTATGAATTTGAACAGTGAGTACGCATTGATTGTATACTTTGGTCTTATGATGCTGTGGATATCTTATGTTTTTTAGAATGTGCCAGTCTAACTCGTTTTTTTATAGTTTGACCCAGATATATTTAATCCTGAACTTGTTCTATTTCATCTTGTCCGATTCTCATTGTGATGTGTTTATCTGTATTTGTTATGGTTTTCGTCTTGCTGTAATTCATATTAAGGCCTATCTTTCCAGCTTCTACTCCCAGTTCTTTCATTATTTCAAATAATTCTTCTTTTTTATCTTTACTTCAGTTTGTTCTTTCGGCCGTTCGAGGTTCTTGTATAGGACGGTAGTTTTTTATATCTGCTTTATCTCCTTCTTTTCTTTTTTCTTTTAATATCTTAATATTGTTCTGAAGCTATTTTCTTGTGGCATTTTAAATTAATCACTATTTAACTGGGAATAAGCCACAATTAAAGATAAAAATACGTTTATTGACGTTTCAATTTCAAATTTTCCGAAGTGGAAATTAAAACGTCAATAAACGTATTTTTATCTTTAATTGTGGCTTATTCCCAGTTAAATTTCAAATTTTCCGAAGTGGAAATTAAAACGTCAATAAACGTATTTTTATCTTTAATTGTGGCTTATTCCCAGTTAAATAGTAATTAATTTTAATACCATGTTAAAAAGGGAATGTAGAGTATTAATTACCACTTTTCCACCATATTTCAGCATCTCTGCAGTTATTCCATCTTTTCCAGGTGATTTGTTGTTTTTCATTTCTTTCAATGCCTTCTTTATTTGTGATTTGCTTATTTCTGGCTGTAGCTCTCAGTTGAGAGTTTTTATTTTAGCCTTAAGTTGGTTTTTAATTTTTTTCCGATGGTTCCTTTTTTGTTTTATATATTTCTGCATGCGAATGGATATATACACTGAAATATCTGATCATTAACATTAATACAGAGCAAAATAGCAATATTTTTATATACGGAGAAGAATAGCAATATTAAAATATTGGAATTTAATACCACAAAATTATTACTATGGTATGTAGGTACTACAACCACGTGCAATAAACAAATTTGAGATATTTGAGACCTAGCTTTTTTAAACATTGTTAAAAATATATCGCGAATAGAGGAGTTTGACATGCATAAGATATGAAAGGAGGAAAAATCCAAAAGTAATTGGAGCATGTATATAGAGGCCCAAAGAACGTATTAAGGCTAACTAAAGAACATTTAGTCAACCTTATGTAGCCCAGCGTATATAGAAAATTTATATTAGTTTAATTTAAAATAACGATTTTTGTATTTCTTACTTGTTAAATCCACGGTACTGGCTTCGATGACGTTTTCCTTCCATATTATTAGGCACAAAAACAAAACTACTGAAATTTTATTAGACATTTTATTTAATAAGATATCGTCTGGAAAGTTCAATTTATATATATATGTGTCAGCGTTTTTTTTTTCAATATTTGTTTTTAACTCAAATTGTTTTGGTTTTCTAGATAACGCTCTTTCGAATATATAGTTAAGGAAAATACGTCTGATATATGAATAAAACAATTAGTTCATTTAATTATAATTAATTCCAATATCTTCTTCTTGTTAGTGCCGTCTCCCTACGGAGGTTGGCAATCATAATGGCTGTTTTTTTTAACTTGCTGCTCTAAACAAATCAATCGATCTGCATAGATACCAATCACGTTGATTCTTCAACTATGAGTTCTGCATTCGGCCAACAGATCTTCTTCCTTGAATCTTTCCATGTATTATGAGTCTCAAAATTTCATATTTCGGTCCCCTCATCACGTGGCCTAGATATTCCAGTTTTCTGGTTTGTATAGTGGTGATTAGTTCTGTTTCTTTACCAACCCTCTCCAATACTTCTTTATTTGTAATTATATCAGTCCATGATATTTTTAATACTCTGAGTATAACCAGAGTTGGAAAACCTCGAACATATATAACAGCGAATGGTACGTAGCCTGATTCCAAATTTAGATTTTTGCACGTTACGTTATTCACGTTACTTCATTCGTATAAATGCTGATCTGGCAATCTCTATTCGCCTGTTTATTTCTGCAGTATGATCATTGGTTTCATTTATCAAAGTTCGCAAGTACTGATATTTTTCTACTTGTTCTATGACGTTCATGTTACGAAGTTACATGTTACACAAGTACAATGTTACATGAACGAAGTACATGTTCTTAGCATGTACTTCGTTCTTTTAGCGTTTATAGTAATTCCTATCTCAGCACTTTGTGATTAAGCTTTCGATAAGATGTTGTAGATCTTCTATACTCGTTGCTATGATCACAGTATCGTCTGCATGTCGTAAGTTGTTAATTAATTTTCCGTTAATGGTAACTCCTGCTTTGATATTATTGAGCGTGTTTTGAAAAATTCCGTCAGAATATAAGTTAAACAAAAGTGGATAAAACACATCCATGTCTAACTCCTCTACAGATCTTCATTTTTTCTGAGTGTTGCCCATCAATTTGAACTATGGCATTTTGGTTCCAATATAATGTTTGCACTATATTTATGATTTTACTGTCAATGCGCTTGTTCAGCGTATTAGTTTTCCATATCTTACTTTCTCTCTCTCTCTCTCTTTCTCTCTCTCTCTCTTCAATCCTGACCCCCAGGGGAAGTGTAGTGGTCGACGTGATGTCACGTATTGTCCGTCTCCATAGATCTCTGTCCTAGAGAAATCTTACTTTATCGAAAGCTTTTTCGTAGTCAGCAAAGCACAAGTGTAGATCAACGTTTACATCCCGATATCGCTGAATCAATATGTGGATGGAAAATAGTCCTTCTTGAGTACCCATTCCATTTCGGAACTCGAGCTGCGTCTTGCTAATATCCTCTTCTTGCCTTTCGTATATTTTCTTATGTATTACTTTAAGCAGTATTTTTAAAGGATGACTCATGAAACTCAGTGTTCGATAATCAGAGCACTCTTTTGCTGCTTGTTTTTTAGGGATGTTTATAAATGCTGACTTTACTCGTGTGGTATTATTCCCGTATCGTACACCGTATTGAATAAATCTGCCAATACTTCCAAGTAATCCTCTTCCGCTAGTTTTAACAGTTCTACTGGTATTTCGTCTAATCCAACTGCCTTACTATATTTAAATTTTTTGATAACACATTTGATTTCATCTATCGTGATCTTCTGTCTCTCTAAAGGATTTAATTCTTGTATTTTCTGAATTTCACCTCTTTCATCTTGGAAAAGTTCTCTAACATGCTCCCCCCATCGTCTTAATTTCACTGGTAAATCTATTAGTAGTACTCCTTTTTTGTCTTTTATGTGTCCTTGCTGTCTATTTCGAACCATTCCAGTCACTTCTCTTATTTTTTTTGTGCATATTTCGCATCAAAACATCTGCTCCAGGATGTTTTAACTGAGCTATAATATATAACTAATAGAGTTTTTATATCTCCTATTTACGAGTATAAAGTCTATCTGGTTTCCGACAATGTGGTTTTCTGTATGTGAAGCAGACGTCCATGTATATAGTTTTCTCTTAGGAAGCTGAAACCAAGTATCGGCAATTACCATATTCTTTTCTTGGTAGAATTCTATGAGCCTTTCTCCTCTCTCGTTTCTAGTTCCTAATCCGAACTTTTCAACTATATTTTCAACTGTACCTACTCCAATTTTTGCATTAAAGTCTCCTAAAATGTACGTAATATCTCTAGATTTTGTTAACTTGATTATATTTTGCAATTTTGAATAAAACTTTTCGATCTCATCTTCGGTCTGATTAGCTGTGGGAGCATAGACTTGGATCATATTAATATTACAATACCGTGCTTAAATTTTTAGCACTATTATTCTTTCTGAGATTTGAATCACACCTAGCACTGATTTTCTAATTGTGTTGCCTATGATGAAAGCTACTCCGTACCGATGATCAGTTTTGTCTCCTCCAGTGTGATAAATATTGTGGTTATTTATTGATATCTCTCATATCAATAACCTGACCATTTCCTGACCATTGTATATCGCTAACCCCAAGTGTATTTATATTTCAGCCTATATTTCTCTTTAATAATGTTATGTAGTTTTCCCGGCTGAACATACTTGTTACATTCCAAGTAGCTATTTTTATCTGAGAGGGTTAAGTATTTTTTTTTTTTTGGTTTTTATGCATGGGTTTCGTATGCACTCTTGCGCAAATAGTGCTAGCCATTATAATTTATACTAGAGATGATATCAGGGACCTTTACTGCAGTTGTTTCTCTTTGCCTACTGCATTCTGATGCCGTTCACCACTTTCTTGGTTCTTTCTCCTTTGACTCCAATTTCTCAGTCTCAGGGCAACAGAGTGTTTTTCCACTTACTAACTCATTCGCCCTATGCCTTAATGACCTTAATTGCAGACGCCAACTTTAAATCTAATGTTTAAATTTAATCTCATGGTTCTTTTGTGAGTTCAGAAATACATTTGCCTTTTAATCGTGTTCAATACATACAACAGATAGGTGTAGAAGGAAATAAAATAAATGCCAAAGTGTTAGATACAATTAAAATATATTGATAAAATATGTTGAAATTACACCTATAAAACAAAACAAACATAAATATTGCTCCATCCATATCGTAACAATTAAAAACTGCGCAGCCAATATTGGTTCGCTTTACTAAATAACCTATACTACTTAACAAACACTTATAGACAAAAAAAAATTATATATTTAATTAAATTTTCTGTTCCGTTTCCAAACTTTATATCTCTGTGCAATGTTCTCAAATTTAAATAAAACGCTTAATTTTAAATTTATTTCAAGACTAAATCTTACTTGGATACTCTCTTGTCAATTCGCTAAACTCCCTTCTTTGAATCAACTTCCAAAAAGAATCTCAATCTCACGTCCTAACCAAAATTCCTATCTCCTCTTGGATACTCAATTTCTAAGCCTTAGCTTCTCCCGATGCAATGATAGTTTATTGGTACTCATAAATGCTGTTGACATTATTTTCAAACAGGTTCACTAAAGAAAAACACTTTCGAAAACAAAATTTCTTTTTAATTTACACAACGTAATTATCTTCTATCGTTAAAATTCACCGGCATTTAATATATTTTTTTCAGATGTTATTCTTTTTGCGACCAGAAACAGGCTGTTATTTCCTCTGCTTTTAATATTTCATCAAACATAACATTTCTCCTTCCTAGAGAAGGAACACAGAGAAATCCCAGTTTCTACGAAATCCATCAAATTAATACTTTCTTGTTTTCGATATAACCCAACAATAGCATCTGTATAAATGTTTCCTATTTTTAACAATATATTAGCTGAATACGGTTAATTGTTGATTTAAAATCCCCTTATTAAAAAAACAAAATCAAATCATATATATATATATATATATATATATATATATATATATATATATATATATATATATATATATATATATATATATATATATATATATATATATATATATATAGAAATTATTCAGTATTCACTGCCTTCCCTTGCTCAACCGTTTCCATCTCTCTCTTTTGTCCCATTCTCCATGTTTATGCCTCTCTTACTCATGGCGTCGTCTAGTTCCAGGATCTTCGAAGTCGTCCTCTTTTACTTCTTCCTACGGTGCTCCATTCGGTTATTCTCTTTATGAATTTGCTGTCGCTAGTTCTTCTTACACCTTCATACCACTTTAGTCTTTTTTGTTTTATATATTTCTTTGCTTTATTTCGTCATTACTTCTCCTATCCATTCTTGTTACTCTGAAGCGTCTTCGCAGGTATTTCATCTCTGTTGCTACTATCTTACTGCTGGTTTTCTTGTTTATAATCCAATTTTCAGCCCCATATGTCATAATACTTCGCACTAATGTTTTATAAATCTATGTTCTTGTCTTCATATTAAGGTGCCTATCCATCGATACTGAGTTAAGTTGTCGGATTGCTGTTCTTGTTTGTCCTAATCTTTGCTTACTTTTTTACTCTATTGTTTCATGATTGTAAAACCCAAGTATTTGAATTTATCCTTTCCTTTGATCGTTACGTTGTCGTCAATCTGTAGATCTTCTTCACTTGTAGATAAGTACTCTGTTTTTGTTAGGTTAATATCTAGGCCAGCCTTGGTATATTCATACAATATGTAATTCGTCATACAATATCTATATACAATATTTAATTCTACCTAATCTATATAATCTACCTTATTATACGGAGTAGAGGCCTGGACACTTTCCGAAGCTTCCTTAAGAAAACTCGAGGCATTCGAGATGTGGTGTTACAGACGTATCTTAAGAATTTCATGGGTCGTGTGACTAATGTTGAGGTCCTACGTAGAATATGCAAGGAATGCGAGATTATTAACACCATCAAAGAGCGCAAACTAGAATATCTTGGCCATGTTATGAGGAATGAACAGAGATACGGCTTGTTGCAACTCATTCTTCAGGGCAAGGTATTTGGAAAGAGAGGACCAGAGAGAAGAAGAATATCTTGGCTTCAAAACCTGTAAAAGTGATTTAATACATCGACAACCGGACTATTCAGAATAGCAGCCAGCAAAGTTAGGATAGCCATGTTGATCGCCAACAACCAGAACGGATAGGCACCGTAAGAAGAAGAATCTATATAATCATACGATATGTAATTCTACCTAAAATCTTAAATCTATTATCTATTACAATTTAAACTTTGTTCACTGAATTTTATTTACACACAAATTTTCACCGTAAAGTTCCCTAAATTTTATCCCTTAAAACAAATTGTGACGCAGGATCATTTGTTTCTTGTTTGTATAAGGAATAAATAGTTGACAGATTTAAAGTGGGAGATAAATAACAAAGATTGCGATTTTTTTCTAGAATAATGTGACTGATAATGTGGGAACCTCGAAATAAAATGAAAACTATTGTCAAGTTTCTCCTGACTTGTTTTACTATGCGGGTCCTTTTTTCCTCTTTTATCCTTAGAAGGTCTACCACCTTGCTCTTTATTACGCAAAGCACGTATAAGTCGACCATCTGAAACTCTCAAAACGTTTTTAAAAAGCTCTGGCCACATAAGTACATCTGTAAATCATAATTAGCAAGTTCATAAAAAACTTTAAAAATAGTTTCACGCTGTTGAAGAGTAATGAGTTTATGGAATTCTTTAAAACAACGACAGTTGGAAGCATCAAACTATTTGGCAGCAGCAGCAGCTACATTACCCCTAATGTTGTGTACTCACGTCCAATATTTCGTAATTTTTTTCTTATATTACATTGCCATTAACTTTATCTGCAAATTTTCGGCGAGTCGAACACCACGTTTCTGTCTTCTTAGAATTTCTCCAGGATTCACAATATCGTTAGACTGAAAATTGTTTTGTAAATTCTCATCAGTCAGCAATTCATTTTCATTTTCACCTAAAACAAAGTATATTAGTTTCTCGCAAACGATTATAATAATAATAAAATACCTGTACTTTTTTCACTTGATTATTCTTCGATATCAGAAGGATTGTAACTAGATCCTAAATCTGCATATGGCTCATCAATACTAGAGATATCACTGTCATCAAAGGTATTATTGCTTTTGCCTGAAAGAGATAAGTTACAATAATTCAGGCGTGTATTAATATATAATTTTTAATACATTACTCCAAAATATCTACTTTTAATAATTACTTTGATAAACAGGCGTCTTTTATGGTTTATTGAATTTTACCTAAAGAACAATCTGGTTTTCGCCGACACCGTTCCACAAGCGATAACCTCGTCCTCCTTTATACCCACATCGCCGAAGCTATTAATAACAGTCAAGAAGTGATTGCCTGCATTTTTGATATTGAAGCTGCTTTCGATAAAATACCTAGACAGATTATTCTCGATAAACTATTATTATACAGCCTCAATGGAAATATTTTTAAATTCATCAAGCACTTTCTTAGCTCTAGATCTTTCAGAATTTCTGTAAATGGTTGCCTAAAAGACGGAGTCCCTCAGGGCTCTGCATTAAGCCCCACATTGTTTATTTTATCGATTAACCATATATGCCACAGTCTTCCCTCCCCAGTCAAATTTACTACATATGCTGATGACCTTGTAATTTATTGCCATGGTGTTGCGACCACTACTACTTGCAAACTTATCTTAGTGAATAACCACCCTCTCCCAGTCGTCGATCACCGCCAAATTCTAGGACTAATATTCGACTCCCGACTTTCTTGGAAACAACATATTCAGGAAACTAGAGCAGAGTGCCTGAAACCTTTAAATATTATCAAAACACTTTCCCACTACCAATGGGGCGCTAGCGAATGTACACTATTAAAAGTATATAGGTCTCTTATTCGCTCTAAACTCGATTACGGCAGCTTTATATATGTCAGCATCCAAAACATCCTTACAAACCCTTAATTCAGTACATAATACTGCCAACCGCCTCTATTTAGGAGCTTTTCGTAGCAGTCCAGCTGAGAGCCTCTACCGCGAAGCCAACGAGCCTCCTCTTTGGCATAGGCGGCAATATCTCCTCCTTTCTTATGCTGCCTTCACTTCAGCCAACCTTTCTAATCCAGTACACACACTGCTAACATTACCCAACTATACTAGTACTCACCATCCTGCTCCACGCATACACACTATCGCCCTCCTACTTCCAACTTTAATACCACATATAAATTTATCCTTAACTAACCCTCTCCCTAACCCGCAGAATTCTCCTTGGACCAAAACTTAACCGGAATTTAATTTGTCACTTTCAAAGTTTAGTAAGGCAGAAACCAACCAGGATTTGATTAGGAAATCCTTACTAGAAATTCTTAATTTTAAGAAATTCGATCGGGTCCTCTACACTGACGCATCAAAGAGCGAAACGGGGGTTGGTTGTGCAGTTACTACTGCCACATGCAGCGTTCACACTGGTAAACTGTATGCTATTTACGAAGCCTCCAAAATCTGCACAGCACCCAATCAACATATTGCCATCTGTACAGACTCCCTTGCCTCTATCCAGTCCATCAATAATCTATTTACTAATCACCCTCTTGTAGAAAAAATCCATGACACTTACCAAAATCTTATCATCCACGACATCCATATCACTATTATATGGATTCCCTCCCACATCGGGATTACGGGTAACGACATCGCCGATCGCTTTGCTAAAGAAGCTGCTATATCCAATTGTACACTACATAATATACGAATCGCTATTCGTAGTTCAGCAGTTCGTTATCCCTGATATAACTAGAAATGAGATGGTTGTTACTAGAAGATTGCGTATCGTTCACACCAGATTTACACATGGTCTACACCTAAGCCAATCTGTCACTATTGCCAATCTCCACTAAGCGTTCTACACATCCTTGTGGACTGCCCTCATTACAATAAACGACGCCAAGAACTGGGCATGAAGGACGACATCACAGATATATTATCGAACCAGAGCCAAGTCATCACAGCTATCCAGTTCCTGAAGCTAGAAAACTTAATAAATAATATATAACTATAGTATATTATAATATGTAATTGTACCTTATATAAAATTGTATCCATGGTGCCTCGTGCTAATGGCCGAAGCTGTCACAAGCACGTTAAATTAAATAAAAAAAATTACTAAATAATTACTTAAAATGAACTGGATAATATATTTACCTGATGTGGATGGAATATCATAATTCAACTTCCAAATAACTAAAGACAAACAACAATTAAATTATGTTTGGTGTTATTATGTTTGCATTTATGTTTGGTTTCTGTTATAGATGTGATAAAATTTTTCAACATATTTTATCAATATATTTTAATTGTATCGAACATTTTGCAATTTATTTTATTTCCTTTTATTTCTGTTGTGTATGTTGAACACTATTAAAAGGCAAAGGTATTTCTGAACTCACAAAAGAACCCTGAGAATAAATTTAAACATTTGATTTAAAAAAAAAGGTTAGTCTTTGTAAATGGGTATATTTATTTAAAAAACCCTTAAAAGGGCTACATCAATAAAACAAACGTTTTCAGACCACACAGTCCATCATCAGGTTTTAAAATCGAAAAAAAGCTAGGTCACAATGCCTGAGCCACCAAAATACTAGGGTAAAAACCCTTTAAATTACATTTAGTTATAAAAGAACAGCTGGGAACTGGAAGTACCCAGTTCCCAGCTTTTCTCCGCGTGTAGAGGTTCTCTCACCGGCTCTGGAACTCGCTTCAGCCATGTGTTATATATAGCCAAATTTAATTTAATACTGAACATCACAGTTATTTTACAACACAATGTATAATCTTTTATAACTAAATGTAATTTAAAGGGTTTTTACCCTAGTATTTTGGTGGCTCAGGCATTGTGACCTAGCTTTTTTTCGATTTTAAAACCTGATGATGGACTGTGTGGTCCGAAAACGTTTGTTATATTGATGTAGCCCTTTTAAGGGTTTTTTAAATAAATATACCCATTTACAAAGACTAACCTCTTTTTTGTGATACGTGGTATACAGCCAGCTACAGGAATTTTTCCTTGTGGATTTTATTTGATTTAAAGTTTATGTCTGTAATTAAGGTCATTAAGGTATTTGGAATGGAATACTAATTAAATTAATTAATTGTTTTTAATCTTATATCAGACGTATTTTCCTAAAATATATTTTCGAAAATGCATTATCTAGGAAACTGTGATAAGGTCTTTGTTACCCACTTGCAAGTTTTTTATCATAAAACGTATTTTCCAAAACGCATTTTAAAAACATCTTTATCTACAAAACTAACATTTAGGTTAAAGGCTAATTATGGTTAAAAAAGCCGATGCAGAGATATAATATTATAAAAATGGAATGCTGAAATTTTTCGTACATAGTTTTATGTAGTACCAGTCAAATAAGATGACAAATACAAATTCAGTATTTTTGTTTTTGTGCGTATTAATATGGAAGGAAAATCCTGTGGAAGGAAATAAGAATTTACCAGGTAATAAATATATAAGTTTGATTTAAAATTGAATTAATATAAATTTTATGATACCTACTGAATAGTTTTACATGGATGGTCGTGGATTTTTACTTTATCTATTGTTTTAGTGACCTTTGTTTGTGAATTTTATAAGCAAATCGAAGACCTAGACCACATTTTCTTTATCTATTCAATCCAATTAACTGTTCAGAAAATGTCTACAATGAAAATAGAATGCCTATATAACCTAATGTATTGATTTATTTTATGTAGAACTGACACTGAAGATTGTTGTCAGAACAACGAGACTACAAAAGCACAGCAACCTTCTGTTTGTCTTTTATGCTTTTTCTTAATATGTATTCCTCATCTATCCAAGATATGTCTTGTATTGTTTATTTTATTTAATTACTTATCGTATGGCATATTATACACACATCTTAAAAATTACAATATAAAGAAAAACATAATAACAATATAAAACACAAAATTGCACAAACGACAACGTCATATTATAATCACAAACAGAAATCTTCAGGTTGTATAATAACGAGCTCCATTATAGTCCCTAAGAAATCCTCGTAATTGCCTTCGTAAGCCCTAACCTCCACTACATAAATATGACTTGCAGCACCCGAGTGGCACACGGGAGAGGGTAGCTTACCGCACGTGTTTAAAAAGTCTATACATTTGCCATTTCTCTCTTGTTTTTCCATTACTGAGGATCGTGATTTCCTCCAATATTCCTAACAATTTTTCTCCATTTATATCTTCAGTTGCTTTGAGCGTTTCGCAGAATAAGTGGCCTGCTGAATATTGAATTTGGTCGGACCCTCTTTTGCTTTTCTCCCTTGAACGTTTCCAGAAATAGTCTCTCTAAATCATCATCACCGCCGAGAACCTCGATCGAAGAACTGTAGAGTTTGCTACAGACATGTTGTGAACAACCTTTTAGTAATGGCAAGTTGGTTAAGAATGAAAGCGTTTGTCCGATCAGCTATCCAAGGTATGCGCAGCATTCTTCTCCAACATAACATCTCAAAGGCATTCATTTTTAAGCGTGCTTGTTCCCAAAGGGTTCAAGTTTCTGCTAGTACAGAAATATTAAAAGTACAAGTGCATTCACCAGTCTCATCTTGATTTCTTAGAGATAGATCTGTCTTTCCCGACTTTAGTTAAGAGACTCATCACATTTTTGTCATACCAATGGGTCTCTGGATTTTTGCTTCGCAGCTGTTGAAGCTGTCTTCCTTTGAAGAGGTATCTGTATGAATGATAAGAAGTATTCCGTCGTGTGGTACTATAGAAGTGGGCAATGTAGAAGAGGCAATGCATACAGCTGCTGAGTTTGGTCAGATGGTTGTCGTTTGATATTCGCTTGTCGACTAGATATTTAGAATTCCCAGATTCCACAATTTCAGACCATGTTTCACGACGCGCATTTTTGATAGAATCCATTAGTTTATCGGAAATCTCCTGATTTTCTCCTTCATCGAAAAATGTCTCATAGTGTACAGCTTTAGGTGGATCCATCCTACGCATTTTTCAAAATGCAGCTTAGTCGGTTTTTTATAGGTTCCATCGTAGATAGGGAAGTAATAATACATGAATTTGGGGTGGTGCTGACTGTGAAACATGTTTGATAGAACATTTCGATATTATTATTCTTATCCAAATTTAGCCATATGACTCACACTCCCTCTAAGGGGAAAAGTTACTTATCCCAGATACCTACGATATTAAAAGAATTGATCTCTGGTGGGACTCTTTTTATGTTAATAAAAGCCCTAGTTGACTTAATACGTTGGAGTATCTCCCAAAAATTGTCTTATGTATCTAGATGTTGAACTCAGTACTGCTTTCTGCATGGTCTTATAGAGATGTTCATTAAGACCCAGCTGTTTTATGTTTTCAAAGAGGCTATGAGGAATAACTCCAGTGCTGTAGTAGACAGAATAATAGGTATCGTCTGGGTACTTTCCATTTTTCATTATCTCTTTATTTATATTTCCAGATCTCTGTAATTGGTGATTTTTTTCGTTGTATTTAACACACAGATTTTATTATTGTTGGGTATCGTCACATCTATTAGTTTTGTCTGTCTGTTAAGTTATTAACTAGTATAAGATCTGGTCTATTATGTGCCACTCGTTGGCAGGTTGAATTTCTTGAATGAAAAGCTCAGGAATCTGCTCATTAGGGATTTGATCTACAACTAGCTCTTGGTTATGAGTCTCCTGTTCGACTTCACTTCTGTTGGTATCGTATCTAGTCTCTGGGATAAGATTATTTTTTATAATTGCCCGTTATTGATCTGCTATTCGCTGTACTGATGCTTAAATAACTGGGTACTCCCCGCAAAACTCGGCATACAGATGTCAATAGACGATCGTTTCTTGACTGATGTTCGTCACCTTGTAATAAATAATAGAAGTCTGAAGTCTATTTCATGTGCTGTCTCGATCTTCCCGGTTGAGTGAGCGCCGGCTGATGTTCCAGTGCAGCACCTTCAGCGAGTGGAGCTCTTGTCGGGGCTCACTTGTGGTTTTGGTGTCTGTTTTTGTTCCACGGCAAGTATCCCTGCTACATTAACAATTCGTGGGGGTCCCTACTCTGATAGAAGAACTGACAAAAACTTTTACGTATTAACTTATCCAATTTTTATTTTTATCTACAGAATGGTCATATCAGCTATATATAGTGATACACAGATGTAAATAGCGGATGGAACCATGCATGTAGCAATATTACAATAAACTTTAATCGAATAAAAGGCAGATATCGAGCACAGTTTTAATAATTAAATCTTGCCCATGTACTTTCGCTTTCTAGAGCGTTTTCAGGGGCATTTCCTCAAATTTGGCCTAACCAACAATAATAGAATATTATTAACAGAAAATTGTACATTACACTACACTACACAAGGATAAACACTTTAAAATTTTAAAATAGGCGAATCTACATTTTGATTGGAAACCGGAGAGAGAATGAAAGTTTATCTCTCCGGTTTCCGACCATAATGTAGCTTCGCCTATTTTAAAATTTTAAAGTGTTTGTCCTTGTGTAGTGTAATGTGATGTACAATATTATGTTTATAAACATTCTATTATTGTTAGATAGGCCAAATTTGACGAAATGCCCTTGAGGATGCTCTAGGAAACAAAAGTACTTGGACAACATTTAATTAATAAAAATGTGCTCGATATCTGCTTTTTATTTGATCAAAGTTCATTTATTCGAGCATTTAACCTTATATAAATAATACAATATTTCAACTGAGAATAAATATAAAAACTGTCTAAAATAGTAATGTAAGTATTAACTTAATGTCTACTTTCAGGTAATCTCATAACTTTTGGTGACAGTCAGTACTTTATTGCAGATATTTTTCATGTAAGTCACATATTATAAGAAAAACTAAAAAAAGGCAAACTTTTATTTGTGGATGAAGGTACTATTATTTTTCTTAATTTTTTAGGGTTGTTGGTGGGAGGCATGGGCACATTGTAAATCTCTTAACATGAATCTCGTCAGTATTGAATCAGAGCAAGAAAATAACTTTCTTTACCAAAAGATGAAGGAGCGCTGTAAGTATCCTGAATTTGACGCGCAACACAAATCGAAAAGAAAAAATAATTAGTATGTGCGGTTTTATTACTAAATAACATCTACGACTAGGACAGTAATGTGAGAGGGGGGCATATTTTGTAGGCATCACTATTTTTAGTAGTGTAAGTGGGAATAAGGTCTAACCTAACATTTTATCATTTATTTCGAATAGTATTGATTTTGGCAAAAAATTGTGTCTATAAATCATAAAATAAAATTGCCGCTAAGTAATTATACAGTACAACTCCATTCTAGAGGAGATACAACAGCTCCTCTATTTGAGACTTGTTCAAGACTTGTTCGAGATCTGTTCAAGACTTTTCAACGTGAATAAAGATTTAAAGAAAAAACTTATTACTAATTAAACGCAAAAACATTCAAAGTAAGTTAAGACAATTAAATCAAAGTCAAATAATACAGTAAAATTTATTTAATCCCATTATCAAATACTTGAATATTGAAATGGGACTAGATTTTTGTCATCATTCGAACAGTGTGATTAAGTTCCAAATAGCTTTTGATCAGACAAGCAGCTGAAATTCCAAAAGGAAAAGCGTCAAAAATTACTAGAATGAACCTTAGATTTTTTATTCAGATTTACATTAGAAAAGAGCCAATTAGTTACTGTTAAACTGGGAATAAGCCACAGTTAAAGATAAAAATACGTTTATTGACGTTTCAATTTCCACTTCGGAAATCGTTCTCAAAATACAAACAGTAAATTAAACAAATTTTGTTTTTTGTTACATAGTAATATGTTACACTATGTAACAAAAAACAAAATTTGTTTAATTTACTGTTTGTATTTTGAGAACGATTTCCGAAGTGGAAATTGAAACGTCAATAAACGTATTTTTATCTTTAATTGTGGCTTATTCCCAGTTTAACAGTAACTAATTTACAATGCCACAAGAAAATAGCTTCAGAACAATAAAAAGAGCCAACGTTGTGCAAGATTCCGTGATGTATAATTACTCTGCTAGCAAAATCGCAGGTATGAATAATTTTATGTTCAAATCCTTAATTCTTGGACTTATATACCAATATTATAATTAGATGGAGTATCCGAGCATTTACATAAAGATAATTGCGATGTGATGTAACTCTCTCTTCTCTCTCTCTCTCTCTCTCTCTCTCTCTCTCTCTCTCTCTCTCTCTCTCTTTTATATATATATATATATATATATATATATATATATCCCTCACTCATTCAAGTTTACTCATTATTTGGACCAGTTCCTGTTGTAAGGTGGCTAACATTAAGGTACCGTGGTAGTACCGTTGTAGTAGTATCTTTCTGGCATCTGTGCAATAGAAATCTTTCTGTAATTGTCTTATTTATGAGAGCTGCCTTTATTGTGTACTGTCCAGATAGTAGATTATGATCGGTTAGTGGGCTATTGTCTATCATCTATATTTGATTACAGAGAGGATGAAGTAATTTTAGATTGGCTTCTTCTGTAGCCTTGAACATTTCTGGTGTTATCATAACTGCACTTAATGCCTTCACAACCATTCTGTTCCACTCTTCGAACTGCGTGTATTGTACATTTTTAATTTTATTTTCAGATGGTAATGGACCCGAATATGGGTTTTGGACTGCGGGAGCCAAAGAGCAGAACAGGTGGGTATGGAAAAATACAGGGCGTCCAATCACCTACTACAACTGGTATCCCAATCAACCAGACAACACGGGAAGCCGTATAGAAATGATATATAATGGATTAACCGGACTTCGCTGGAAAGCTTTATATGAACATTATATAGGCTTACGTGCAGTTTGCGAAATAGGTTTGTGATGTGAATTGTTAAACAGGTTGCTTTAATCCCTATGTTGTAACACAGTGATAATAAATGAAATGTTTTAATTTTCGTCCTAATGATTATCTTTCCAAACCAAAAATTTTACAAATATAATAATTATTACCGATGTGTTTAAATTTTGGTAAATCGTCAACTAATGCAATTATGCCATTTATGTTTTTTCGTTGTAAGCAGAGAATTTACCAAGCAATTCCCTGTATGTACTTGTAGTTACAAACACTACAATATATTGGGCAAAATATATTTACAGTTAAGCACAACCAGTATCACTATAATTATTGTTGTTGATACCAACAGATTAGGGTAAACTATTGTTGCTAGATCTATATTTTTTTAATGGGAGTAACGGAAATTACTCAGTAAATTCCTGTCTTTGGTTATAAGGATTATTTTTGTATTGTCCAATTATTGGCCTATAAAATAAGCCTATAATTATTATTACAAGACCAGATTTGTTTCAGAATTACCTGGTCACTAAAATAAGTTTCAAGGTAATGGCACAGAATAATAAATAATCAGAATGCCCACTTTGCTTGAAAAAATAAGTACGCGCATCTCGTTCGCGCAGACGGGATCAGCCATGTTTTAAACGGAATCAGTGCTGTTCAGTGAAATTGTATCTGGTGTGCATAGAAAAATTAACCCGGTTTAATTTATTTACGGCAACTATAGACATAATATGCACTATTTTATTCGTACTTTTAGTTGAAGAATAGATTAAATTATTTCAAATGTACTAAATTATTAATCTCCAAAAATTTAAATTACAGTTCTGTCGTAGCTTGTCACAAATTTCTCAATTCGAGTCTATTCCGTCTAAAATATGTCGATCGCGTGCTGACAAACTTCAAAGACGGCATCTGAGAGTGGGCATTCTGATTGTTATTGTATAACAATCTGTTAATGTTCTGAGAAGGATAGACTTCTTAAGGACGATTTATCCCTAAGCAGCGATGCAGACACAAAATGTAACTAATTGCAAACAAAAACTTAAAAAACGTGTAGTGAATGAACAAACGTTGGGCCTGTACTGTTCAAAAAAACGGAACATAGCTTGTGGGAAAGAGTATTTCAGTAAAAGAAGCGAAAACATACCTGCAGATTGTTAAAGCCTTCTTGCATGTGTCGCATAAAATGCTCTGGAAGATTGCCAGAACACGAAAGACAAAAAATTTTCAACTGATACTAAACTGAGACAAACGTTTCAGATATTAAAAAGCAATTTATCTTCTCATGTATTGACATCCAACATATTTGTCGATCAAGAAACAGAGACTCAAACTCTACCAAATCTAAAAATAGTACACTACACTAGCATTTTATAGTGAACAATCAGCGATTGAAGGTGTGCAAGGTTATGTTTTTAAACACACTTTGTATACCTAATTTAGTAGTAGTGAATATGTTTCAAAAAATTGAGCGAGGACGTTTAATAGGGTAGACACACGCCAATCAATAAAACTCCTACCAAAACGATAAATACTTCAACATATCAATACTTCCCAAAGTACGAGGGTTATTATTCCAGAGAAAGGAACAAGAGAAACTATCTGGGCACAGAACTTACAGTAGAAAATATGTATCAACTGTACATTGATATATGCAATGAAGGACATGTGGATCCAAAGCTAGGAGCAAAAAGGTGGTTGTATACAGATATTTTTAATAAAGACTTGAAGTTGTGTTTAAACCACCCGAAATAGACACTTGCGATACATGCAGTACATTCACCGCTCAATTGAAAAATAATCTTACTGCAGATGAACTAACCAGTGTACAGGCTGATCATGATGCTCATCTAATTTAATCTAAAACTCGGTATAACTTAAAACAATTGGACTTTATAATGGCTAGAGTCACCAAAACACAAAGTACTATCTGGTGATTTGCAAAACTGTTTGCCTTCAAATTGTATTAGTTTCTACAAAAGGAAGCTTTGTAAATTAAATTTTATATTATATAATGCCAGTGATTCTTCTGTACAATGTATTATGTGAGCCGAATCGAAAGGGGTGCGTGGTGCAAATGAAATTGCATCTTCAATTTTGAAATGGGCTGACAATACAATTCCAGGTAGTAAAGTAGAGGGCATTACAAGTATTATAAGTGCTATTTTTGGATACTGCATACGTACCCTCAAGTAAAGACGATCACTCAAAAGTTTTTGAAGTGAAAACTTCTTTAGCGACGTTATGCACTTTTTGGATGGGGAAAAAGCATTGAACTCGCGACCGTCACCGCGAGATATATTACCTATGTATTATATATAAATAGTATGTGATGCATGCAACACATATATACTACATAGCACTTCTTTTTGGATGGGGAAAAAGCATTGAATTCGCGACCGTCACCACTATCGCGAGATATATTATGTATACATATATGTGTATGTATATATAAATAGTATATATATGTATATATATATATATATATATATATATATATATATATATATATATATGTAGATAAGAAACTGTCACCTAATCCTCCTTTTGTAAGTAGAGAAAGAATGTTAACAAAGTGCCTGTTCTACTGTCAACGTGTTTTCCTACAAGTCCAACAAGAACACATAGGAAAGCTCTTTTATATAAGACCTATTTCAATAATCAAAATATGTATGAGGTCGACTTCATAAGGTATCGAAGACAGCAAGTAACATTTCCAACCCAATTAAATCCAGTCTCAGTAATCCCATTACCAATCTCAAAACAAAAAGTTGTCTTTTGCCCTACCTTGACTATTACCTTTTATTCCGTCGTTTTGCCATGTATTTTAACAAAATTTAACACGTAGCGACGTAGCCACAAACGATTACCCCCAAGAATATGAAGATGATATGAAGCATCTTTAACAATTTTTTAGACATGTCCTCTAAATGTTTACTTAATTATTATAACATTATCATATTTGTCTCTAATAAAATATTAGTATAGGCTGTTTAATGTGTTTGTCTTGTTTATTTCGTAGATAACTTAACAAGCAATGTCACATTATTTAAAAAAGTTGTTAGAGGCAAACAACGCATGTCCAACTACACAGTTAAAAAAATTATATAATGAACGGTAAATTACAGGTATATAACACTTCATGGAAGGAAAAAAGATTATACCCAGAGAAAAAAAAAAGATTATTCAAAATGTTAAATTTTGGACTTATACGGTTTTCGAACTTACCGATTCAATTGAAGATTCACATCACTATCATTCTATTCTTTCAGAACATATTCGATTTATCTAGCAATAGATGATCCAATCTGCCCATCAGTATTTAGAGTGTAACATTATAAACGTCACATGTTTGTTATTTCTTTGTAATAATTATTTTACTTCAATTTTCTTTTGATTTTATTCATCTATTAACTTTATTTTTTCTTTTACTATTTTTATTCTAAAATTAGTTGGTTAATATTAAAATTCAATCAAATATTTTGTACTGAAATGGTCGTTGGGCATCCATCTTTTATAAGTTTTTGATATAAATCAAATAGTGGTGTCTTATTGATAGGACACTCTAGCAAGATGTGTATTATTCATCCTATTTGCTTACACTCACAAAAAGGGGAATCAATACAGTTAATTTTAAATAGATAATCTGGCGCCAAATAATTTTCTGCTCGTAACCTAATAATTGTTGTCAGGTGTCTACGGTCTACAAAGGCAAACTTATGAAACCATAGTTTTATAGAGAATTCGCTTTGACATTGTTGGTACCACTTTTTCTTTTGTTTAAACTGTTTAAGCCAATCAAGTTTAAATTCATTTATTAGTGTTTGAGTAACAAATGAAAGATAGTCCATTTTATCAATTTTTATATTAGCTGGGATGTTTAGGGTTCTACCTAGATTTGCCAATTGATCTTCCACAATATTCCTTTTTACTTCTGAGTGGCCTGGAATCCAGGCTATAATAATATCAAGTCCTGCTTCATTTGCCTCAAGTATTAATCTTTAAGTTAAATTTACAATGTGGTTATTTGTTCCCCAACAGGTACTTTGCAATTTTTGGATTGCACTTTTTGCATCAAAGAATATTATTGCTTTTTTAATATTTTTTTCTAAGCAAACTCCTGCAATGGCAATAATTTCAGCAGTGTATATTTGTATGTGCTCATGTAGTCTAGATGCATAGTTATAATTTATTGATGGAATTTGAGCTCCAAACGCTACTGCCGTTGAATTGGGTTCTAATGACCCATCTGTAAATATCCAAGTGAATTCTTCATAGATGGTTGAGAATTCATTAAGAAATTGTTGATTACTATATGTTTCTACTTTTTTTGTTTTTGGAGAATACTGTTTTTATTCTTTCTATTTGATATTTTAGTTCAATCTGGTAACAAGACTTAATACTATCTTTAAATAATTGTTTAGATCTTGATCAAATTTACTTTTAATGTATATAAGATATGGTGTCTCTTTTAATTTCCACATCCCTATCTGATTATTGATTTTGAACTCTAGCTCAGACAATATTTCATTCAATTGGTTTTCTATATCAGCTGACATGATTTTTCGTCTGATTTCTAATGTTTTTCCACTCTCAGCTAATAAGGCATTAGTAGGAGTAGATCTCATACAACCTGTGATAATCCTCAAAGCTTTAAATTGGATTTTATCTAATGTTATGAGTTGGCTTTACTGCGGGGTTTTAGTACTGTACATGAGTAATCAAGGTGTGATCTTATAATACCTTTATAAATTAACATAAGTGAAATAGGGTCTGCCCCCCCCCTATGTGCCACATAATGCTCTCATTATATTCATTCCTTTTTGATCTTTCGTTTCAATATTTTTAATGTTTTCTGTCCAGTTTAAAGAATTATTAAAAACTAATCCTAAATATTTAATAGAGTTTTTGATAAGAATGATCTGTCCATCTATTGTTAAAGGTATGTCATTTATTGTACTCCTCATATTACTAAATATCATTGATGATGTTTTATCTATTGATAAAGGAAGCTTATTTTCAGTTAGCCAAATAATAATGTCTCTAAGGCAATTATTAGCAATTCCAATAAGATTATTTATGTTTTTGCCAATTATTACA